TGTTGGAAAACCATTTCAGGTGACTACCTCTTGAAGCTCATCAAGAGAATGCCAAGAGTGTGCAAAGCAGTAATCAGAGCAAAGGGTGGCTATTTTGAAGAAACTAGAATATAAAACATGTTTTCAGTTATTTCACATTTTTTGTTAAGTACATAACTCCACATGTGTTCATTCATAGTTTTGATGCCTTCAGTGAGAATCTACCAATCTACCAACAATGGTAATGAAAATAAAGAAAACACATTGAATGAGAAGGTGTGTCCAAACTTTTGGCCTGTACTGTACATGTGTGTTTGTAACCGAGTGCCTGTAGTACAACGTGTACGAGCAAGTGTGAGAGTATTGCGTGCCTGAATTTAATTTTGTGTGTCATTGGTGTTTGTGAATCAAGATTCAAAATTCAAAGCGTTTATTGTCATATGTATAGTAGAAAAATGTATTTCTCTGTGCAATGAAATTCTTTCTTTGCTGTCCACACAAAATGCTGAGAATAAAATAAAATTTGAATTTTAATAAAATTTGTAATCATACGTGTGCTTGTGTATTTGCCTTGTTGGTGTGTGTATCTACACACACAATGTGTAAGTGTGTGTGCGTGTGTCTTTGGTGGGTCTGTGCGTGTGACGTGGCTTCTTACCAGTTGGCCCATAAAGCAGCACCTCGAGGGGGGCCAGGCCGGCTTTGCTGGTGTCCACGGTGAACGTCTGGGGTATGTGCGCCCTCACGCCGTTCCCCAGCCCAGGGCCGGAGCATTTCACCTTGCTGGGGTCCACCAGCTCCCGGACCGGAACACGGAAGGGACTTCCTGTATATCGGAGACACAGACACACCTCATCTACCTTCTCCGTCACTGCTGCTCTGTACCATTTTAAATCACTTAAAACATATGTATAAGTTTAGCAGTATAACCATTATGACAAGTTTACATAAGGAACCTCCAGGAAATTGATTCAGACGTTAATCTGTCACACATTCCAGAAAACTGTCTCAGACTAATTGTGCATTATTTTGACTTCTGCTAAATGGAATCAAATTAAAACTGCATGTATGATGTCATTAAAAATGTCACAGGAACAGACGTCAGATAGTAATATGCCTAAATTATGTACGACAGGAGGAATAGAGAAATCCTGGAAAAGTCTGACCCAACCTAATCTAATCGAATTTAACCTAACTTAAACTAACCACAGAAGTGGAAATGTGATGTCATATCCTGTCATTTCAATCACAAGGTACCAGGTATGGGATGTCCTCCAAAAGTGATATTGACGTCATAGTCCCCGGGGGTAAACGGGATGTACTCCACGCTGCAGCTGCCATCTTTGTTGTCCTTGCAGGACATCTTGGCCTCAGATGGTCCCTCAACGGCCAAACCCAGCCCTCCAGTCCCTGCACCTCTGTAGGAATAAAATTGGGAGCTTGTCACTACAGAAAAGCACAAATCTGTGGCACACATTCCATCTCAGTTCAGTCTCTCTTCCGTAGTAACAAAATAAAAATTCCAGACAGCGTTCCCCTCTTAATGAGAATGTCCTGCCAATACCTTGTTTCCACGGTAAATCGGTTGGGCTTGTTAACCAGTCCCTCTTCCAATCCGGGACCGTATGCCCGCACGCGTGTTGGGTCACAGCCCTCAGTGACCATCACCCTGAAGGGACTCTTGGGAACCGCAATGTCATCATACAGGATCTCAATCAGGTGCATGCCTACAGAAGCAATCACATCATCAACAGGTTTGAATATGTCACCTGGTGCAAAAGCTTGTTATAGACCATAGCAGAGCCCCTCGGGAATAAGCCAGTCTGAGGATTTTTGCTTCTTTACTAAAGAATAGAAAGTTAAGGAGAGGGTGACAGCATCGGGTCCAATGGCCGCAGCGATTCACAGACTCAGTCTGGATCAATGTAGCTTTTCATGGAGCAGTGCTGGTGCTCATTACAGTGCAGGAACAATCTGCACACCTGCTCTCGGCTCAGCAGACATGGCAACAGCACCAGTGTCACCTGTGTGACTCTCCCGGCTCAATCTCACCACTTCACCGCCTCCAACGGAGATGGATGCTGATGAGCCGCCCCCCCCCGCCCCCGCCCCCAGGCTCAGGCATTACTCTCAGTATTTCTGCCAGTGTCTCCAGCCAGTATCGAGTGCAGGGGGCCATGCTGGCCCACCACTTATTTATAGTCTCCCCAAAGCTCCTTACACAACCCCCCCATGTCGTTAACTAGTCCTATTTTTACGCCCCCTGGCTCCCCCTGAAACTCTAAACTTGCCAAGCTGCTTTTCACTGCTTGTCTCTTTATGGATGAACTGGAGTTTTGGAAAAACAACACAACGGATTTTTTTTTTACAATCAAAACTGTAAAGCCCCAGAGCCATTTTCGCCCAGGCTAACAGCAAGAGCAGAAGTGGGGTGGGGAACCACAGACGCGTTTGTTTTTCAATTAACAGATTTACCAAGAAACAGTAATACTTCAGCAATGACCATATGTTTTCCAAGTTCTCCCAAAAGACTTTACTGGATCATACACTGTCAGAAAAAAAGAGCATCAATTTGTTCTGCTTGTCGCTGGAGCTGTACCCTCAGAGTCTGCCACTTGTACCTTATAGCTGTACTGTAGGTGCTTGTACCTTTTAAGGTACAGAAATAGACTATGAGGAACATTTTTGTACCATTAGGGGTACTTTAATGTTGTTTGTACCTTGGGGATGTTCCTCAGAGTCCCTTTCTGTACATTAAATTAGACTAAAAGGGACATTTACCTACAGCTATAGGGTACAGTTGGCAGATCCTTGAGGGTACAAGTAAAGGTACAAATTGGTACTCTTTTTTTTCTGACAGTGTATTCATGAAAATCATATGGAAAAAAATGTTTTTTAGCAATAGTTACAAATGAATGAATGTCTCTCTTCTCTGATGTCCTACCGTCTTCGTAAGCTGTGTACTCCAGCCTGTAAGTCCCATCTCCCTTGTCGGTAATGTAAATGTCGGTGTTGTTTCCTGACGGGTTAACGATCCGGCCTTTCACATGCCCGCCCCCAACCTTGCTGTGGGCGCGAGCATCGACGGTGAAGTGCGTGGTGACCTCCCGGAGCACCCCTGCGAACAGAGCGACGGGTGATGAATTACAGTGCTCCCCAGGGAAGAGTATCTCCCACAGTACAGTGACAAATTGGCAAGAGAAAGGTTCATGGGAAGTCGTTATTTAATGGGACCCCCCAGAGGTGGTGAACTATAAATCAGGTTGCTGACAGCAAGAGGCAAGTGGACATCAGACAAACAGGGAGGCACTGGGTCAGCTTTACTGGTACGGACCTCATTCTTTACTCGGTAGCGAGTGCAGAATTTTAGCCTCGTTGAGCCTCAATTTACTGGCGCGAGTATCTCCAAGGCAAAAAGCTGCTTCAGTTTAGTAAGTCTCACCGTGGAAATTCATCTCCTGGCAATAAATTAAACGGAAGCAGAGCTACGAACGTAAGACCTTGTATTATCGTGCTGTGTTGATAGGAACACTATTTCTCAAGTCAGCCAGACGTGCGAAAAGTCAAAAGGCAACGGCGCGAATGTGGGGATTCGCGGGCACGTTTCTGAGCCTACAGCACACGAAGGCTAGCTAACTTCGTTCACGTTCAGCCACCTCTTCGTTCTCCTTTCACAAGGTCTTTTTGATCGAAGCAGCAATTTTCTAAGATCAAAGTCAAAAAGTAATAACTATATGGGAACATTACAGGATCCTGCAGCGCACTGTGACCCAGATATGCATGATTGAACAGCCTTGGCCTGGTCATACTCATTTTTTAAATATGAACTGTTAGCTTACATATAATATACAGACCAATCTTTTGCTAAACTATTGACGTCACCATCCAATTATAAAGGTCTGTTCTGACAGAAAGAAAGACTAATGCGGATTGAACAAATGCCCATCCACTAGCAATCCATCAGCCAAAGGCAAGTCAGAGTCATGATTCTGCGGGGGGATCCTTTGGTGGAAAACGTGAAAACATGTAACAGCTGCTGACTGTAATCTGATTGGCTCGACATGTGAAAGGTCTGAAATCAGATTGGCTCCCGTTCACAGCAAACAGAGCACAGTGTGGCCATTTGTGGCCAAGCTGCTGCAGATCATTGCTTGTTTTTTCAGCGCAGTGGGCACAAATGGCTTCAGGTGACGGGATTACTGCTGACCTGAGACTGATCTGCTCCTAATTTCTGCTCACTAGATGGGCACATGAAAAACGTTCAACATATGAACAAAGTTCTGTGGAGAGTCCAGAAGAAGTCCTCCTACCTCTGGGTTCAATGCCTGGTCCATAGACCTTCACTCCACTGGTGTCGATGGCAGGATCCACCTGGAGTCGGGCAGGGAAATTGGGCACAGCGTGTCCTCCATATTTGATTGTGATGGTGTACATCCCATGGAAGGAAGGGATGTAGGTGATGGAGTATGTGCCTTCACTGTTCTTCTGAATGTGTACCTCGGCCTTGGACCCAGAGTCTGATATTATCTCAATGGTGAGCTCAGCTTCTCCAGCCTTGGAGCAGTCCACAGTGAAGGAGCCCGCCTCGTTGACCTTGCCCCGCTCCAGGCCCGGCCCGCTGGCCGTCACCTTGCTGGGGTCGAAGACCGGCTGGACCAGCGCTTTGAATGGAGAGCCAGGAATGTGGGCCTCGGCAAAGAGGATGTTGATGGAGTATTCGCCGGGTTCGGTGGGCAGGTAGGACACGGAGCAGGAGCCATCGCCATTGTCCTGGCACTCGATCTTCGCCTCGCAAGGCCCCTCCACTGTTAGGCCCAGCCCACCTGTGCCTGCCCCCTTTGTGTCAATAGCAAATGGGGCTGGTTTACCCACAATGCCTCCTTTCAATCCTGGGCCATATGCACGTACCTGTAAGACAGGAAATGTTATCTATGCGATTGACTTATTAATAACTGTCATTTTAACAATTAGATCTTATAGATTCTAAGAACTGAAATGAAAAACAAGAGGTTTTGTTTACCTTTGATGGGTCAGGGGGCATGACCCCTTCCACAGCAAAGGGACTGCCGGGTAATGGATTTCCATCATAGCTGATGTCAACCTTGTAGGGACCCTCCTCAGGAGGGATGTACTTCACAGAGTGAATGTCATTGGCCGTGCCTGATTCCACCTTGCACGGGATTGGCCGTCGTGAGGGGGATGTGATCTTCACATCTACTTTTCCCTGCCCTCCAGCGCCCCTTGTGTTGACTGCAAACTCCTGGTCCTTGCCAACATCCACTTCTGAAGACACAAAGAGGCAGTTCCTAGGTAATTCTCCCCCTAGTGTGCCTCATCCTGCTTTTAAACATTATGGTAATAATACTGCTTATTATAAAGCTTCACTAGTGGTTGGCCACTGTTGGGTTTTGCTTGCAATGCTTACTGTTGCTGAGGCCTTGAACTTTGACCTTGTTGAGATCCAAAGGAGGGGCGACAGTGATGCTGAACGGGCTCTTGGGAATGGGATCACCTCCGTGTGAGACAGCGATGGTCATATTTCCCTGAGGTGGGGGACACAGGATCAGGATCAGCAAGACAAAAGCCACTTTTCCACAGCACCAAGTATAGTACTTACGGTACTTCAAGAAAGTACCAAAGGTACTGTACCTGCCCAAAGAGGAACTAAAAAGTATTATGTAATAGCCATTATAATTCAGTATTAAACCTCTAAATGTTATTGTTCACACTGCACAAAGTAGACAATCTGTACCTAGAGAAGCTATTGGTTATTCACTAGCAGGTAAGCACATGGTACATGGTACGATACCATGGATGGGCCAAGTGTGTCGGTCTTACCTGCTGCACAGCTGTGTACCTCACAGTGTAGGAGTAGTCATGGTTGTCAATGATCTCAAAGTCCCGCACGGCGTCTCCCTTGGCAGCGCCGGTAAAGTGGACGTCGAGCTTGGCTTTGCCAGCGCCTTTAGTGTACACCGTGAAATGCGTCGGCTTGCCCACCTCCACACCTGTAACGTGCAGAAGCCGTCAGGAATTCGTTTACCGCAGTCGTGTTTATTGGCCACCATCGCCGATGAATGACCCTGGGCTTCTTCTTCAGGTTCGACAGCAGGGGACCCCTGGAAACACGTGAAGTCGCGTCGCCTTGATCCCGTGAGGACATACCTGTCTTGTTCAGTCCAGGGCCTTCTGCCCTCACCTTAGCAGCATCGTGGGAGGGATCCACTTTGATGCGGAAGGGGCTGATGGGAATTTCCTGCATCCAAGTGAGAAGAACATATCTCGGTTTACGGTGCTTGTCATGTGACCATAACAGACAGCCAAAGAAGCTCCACCCAGACCCACCTGGTCAGCAAACAGGACCATTATGGTGTAACGACCAGGGCCGGGAGGGGTGTATTTGACAGTGAAAGTGTCATTGTCGTTCTTGATGATGTCGAAGTCGATGTCAGCCTCAGCTGGTCCAACAACACCAGGAGCACACTTGATCCCAATGCTGACGTCGCCTGCCACAGTGAGACAATGGAGTGACAGCATTATAGTTAGTGTTAGGGTCACATGATCATCATACTGCATTCATAGGGCCTAATGAGTTTCTTAATATGCACATTATTCCGGAGTATCCTACTTACAGTTTAGATTATTCTTACCCTGTCCAGCTTCACTGCAGTCCACGGTGAAATAGGTAGGCTCGTTGGCTTTTAGCCCTGCCTTCTCCACCCCTGGTCCATATACTTTCACATTCTCTGGGTGACTACCTTCTCCAATGGTCACCTGAACATAATTAGCACAGTCCACCATGAGGGCAGAGTGAGATTTCATGAAGCAGTGAACATGAACTCCAGGCCCAGTCTGGATGGACCCCGGAATCACCGCCTATCCTGACTCCAAAGTGTCAATCACCCAGACGTTACTCCTGATAAAACGTACTGCTAAGGATATTTGTTATATTCTGCTCTGACCAATTTTTCTCTAATTTCTATCACTAACATTCCTTCTAATATTAGCAAAAGTAACACCTTACTCGACATGGCAAAAATAATATAGTATTATGCTATTACTTAGGTATTAATTAACCACAGACTAAGTCTTAGTTACATACTGATCTCATGTTAATGAATCCTGGTGCATCTTTAATCCCAAGCAGTTACTATATCTGTTAGTATATCTGTTAATACTATACACCCTGTTTAACTACTGAAGGAACTACTGAAGAAACAAGTAATGATTAACACAAGGAATACTAATTTCATGATGAATGAATTGTAACAGATTTTATGTCAAGTAGCTACTATAATTGTTCATGATTTGTTCATGATTTGTACTTCAGTAGTAACTGAGTTATTACTAAGTATCTGTGCCCTGTGTTATCTAGACCTTGATTTCCGGGAGGATCAGAAAGGTTTGTGGTCTCTCACCCTGAAAGGGCTGTTGGGAACGTTGACCTCTCCCCATGTGATGATGATGGTGTGCTTGAGTGGCTTGGTTGGGATGTAGACACAAAAGAACGTGCTGTCCCCATTATCCATGATCTGAATGTCAATAGGGAAGCCTTCTGCATCCTGAAAAAAATATATATACACAACATCATCCACCAGGCTGACGGAGAAGCCAGGAATTATGTCAGCCGTGTCAAGGATTATGTTTTTGTAACCGAAACCATAATCCGAGCCACGCACACTTTCAACATAACACCTTAAACAGTGGTGAACATGTCAGAATGTCAGCTGGAGAGGTTGAGCACTCCTCGGCACGTCAGCCGACGCTGCGGCTGCTCGTGGCGCCATGCAGTCTCTGAAGACGTACCTGGGCGTAGATTTTCAGCTGCCCTTTCCCAGCGCGACGGGCGTCGATGGTGAACTCGGCAGACTTGTTCACGATGCAGCCCGTGGGCTCCAGGCCTGGACCATATGCTTTTACCTGCAACAAAAGGCACAACACCATGAGATTCTCATGGTGATCACTGCCGGCCAAGGGAATAATTGGAAGCAGAGGGCTGCATTTAATTCGACTCAGATATTTACACAGCTGGTGCTCTTATCCAGAGTCATGTTGGAAAATCACTTGAGAAATAGACTTATATATATATTTATTTAAATTTTAACGGTCATAAACATCAGAGGGGGTGACCTGCCTTCTCTGGGAAGACGTTGTTGGCAGCAGGTAGGATATGAGCCATGAAGGGACTGTCTTTGATGTCTTCGTCATCGCAGATAACGTGCACGGCGTAGTCGCCCGGTTCTGTCGGCCAATAGGACACATCGCAGGAGCCGTCGCCCTTGTCGTCACACTCGATCTTGGCTTGGGATGGTCCCTCAATGGAAAAGCCTGTAGAGAAAGAGAGCTGGGTGCCCTTGGCTCTGCCTCATCCTCTGCCTCACATATAAATTCCCAATCTCAAAAAAGTTGTTTTTCTAAAACAGAAGGAATCCAACATGAAGTAGCTTAACAACCAAGAGGCACACGAGCTAACACTATGTGGACCAGTTGCAGGTCTTTTTCACGCATTTCATGGGTTTTACAGGAAATCAGAGGAATTCTGGAATTTTGGATCTTTGGATCAATGACCTCATTGTGTTTGCAGTCTACTGGAGCCTGGTCTACACACGTAGCAGAGGTCACGACTTTTTGTTCATTTACAAACACAGACCACAGTACAAAGAGGAGGCAGAGCGGACTGCTAAACTGATGGGGGAAACGCTGCTTTCTCTCAAGTTCAAACAACGAAACCTAACATGCATGCATCCTGGGAAGGGGTGAGGCAAGCAGCACAGGAAAAGAATCTACGTAGGAGAAATAACAGGCGTCACGCCCCACAGAACGCACTTCAGAGGGGTGCGGAACATCCTTCACAGAAGAAGGACTGTTTTCCTTGTGCTGCGTGGGTGAACCGCTCAATTGTCATCACTGTTGTGTACTAAACTGTTGTGTTTTGCGAAGCGTGATCTGTAATGTTACAAGGAGGCAGTTTGCCCAACGCCCAAGGAAACCACTAGTGTGATATATCAAAGCACGAAGGTAAAACCTCAGAAGATTCTAACCTCAATGACAACCACAAACACCATAAGCGTGTCCAAGTGTGCTAAATAACATCATTCTTTCAGTATGAATTCACAATGAATCAAGTGTCTCATAATTCCCTCAGCAGCCAAATCCATCGCTCTGTTCTTTTAACGTGTGACATACCCAGAGTTCCCACTTCTGTTCCGATGGCTTCCACCACAAAGTCAGCTGATTTTCCCACCATTCCCGTCTCCAGGCCAGGACCCCAGGCTCGGACTTTCTGTTGCCCCGCCTCCTCACTGATCAGAACCTCAAACGGGCTTCAAAACACAAACATCCATGTGTCGTAACAAGCTAGTCATGAGAGCTGTTATTCCACAGGATATTCCCCACAGTGAACAATCCATGTTTGTATTACTGTAGCCACACTGACCGTGGAATTTTGCAAGATGCTGGTTATGATTAACACCCTATTTGTCATTTTATGGTTTATGATGCAACATAAATGTGATGTAATACAACAGAAATGTAATATAATACATGTCATATAATATGCACTCTAAGCCACCCTTATAGGCCGATTATGCTAACTCGGAACTGTATTTCATTGTCTGGTGTGAAATTCTATAGCTGTTTATCATGTTTCTGGTGTTCCCCGGTTACACCCTGGGGAATGTGGACATTGAGCAGCTCCGGTCACAGTAACCTCTTTGGTATTTGGAAAGTCGCTGTGTGCCCATTCCAATCGGGCTCCTTGAAATGTCCAGGCGGCACCTCCCACATTCCTCTTCAGCTGCTATGTGTGTGTGTGTGTGTGTGTGTGTGTGTGTGTGCGTAGAGAGGGGTGGGTTGACCCCCCCTGTGTCCTCACCTGCGTGGGATTGTGTGTCCTCCCCAGGTGATGGTGACAGTATACTTTCCTGGCATGACCGGGTAGTATTCGCACTCGAATACGCCATCTCCGACCTCCTGCACCTTGACGGGTTCCTCGGCTCCTCCTTAGGGGGGCCAGACGTTTAGAATGTTAGGGCTGAATGGTTCAAACACACCCTGTGCATTCTGTCAAATGGCTGATAGATATGAAGTGCTGAGGAAAAGTCTGAGGCAGTCACTGAAAATGCTGTTGAAATGATCGTCATGTCAGCATGAAACTACTGTATTATGTCTGTCAGAGTGTGTCAGCTTAGTCATTTCAAAGCCTCTCGTAAAATCACCATAGTATTTGCTAGAACATCCAAAAGACCAATTTATTTTTGACTGGACCACTGCCTTCCTTTTTTGGCTAATCAATACCGCATTGAATTATTTAACTAATTAAGTCAGTTAATTAAGTGAGGTGGTGGTAAAATTTAACGAATCCATGGAATGACTGAAGTGCTCTTCAGTGACTTTTTGGAGAACAGGAGACATTCCTGTTAGTTTTTATCGTGTTACTGATAATTTGCATACCTTCTAATGTTAAATTGTGTTTTTTTCCAAGCAAACATACATTTACTACCCAGATGAACAGCCTTAACCTTTTTCTTTGGCTGCCTAAGACTTCTGCACAGTAATGTACTGCAGCGTGTCTCTCGGTTGATGAACCACGAACGTCCATCACGAGCTCCAGTGGAGACAATGAGGCCTGACTCACTTGGTCCCCTGACAAGGACCCTGATGTCTCCAGTGCCGGCTCCCTTGGTGAACACCCTGAAGTCGGCGAACTCCTTCACCCGGACGCCCTTTGGCTGGAGCCCTCGTCCCATGGCCCGGCACGCGTTTGGGTTGCTGGCTGTTGGAAGTAGGAGAGGCAGTTGAGGGCCGTCGGACATGCGGACGACGGGCTTTTAGAGGAAAGCGCCTGAGGACAGGCGCATCTGGTCGGGGTTAGTGAGATGGACGTTACGCCACATTCCCAACGGCCGCTGGACAGAAGCAGCTGCAGCACATGGCAGGAGAAGCGCCACCTTCCCCCGCGAGCCAGACGCGGACAGAACACAGAAGAACACAGCGATCTCCCGACTGAGCTCACACTGACTCTGTGATTAAATGATCAAAAGACTCTGCGTCAGTAAAAGATCATTTTCAAGTCGTTTAAATAACATCAATACTACTTACGAAGGAATCCATGACAACGAGCAACAAAATAATAAATGTTAGACTTTTGACTGCATATTTTTATGGGATTTAGAGAGAAGGAATTCTAGTGGAGTTTGGCATTTACAAGTAATTAACAGCAGTTTACTAACTAGCTTTAATAAAATAACACAGATGACAACTGTGGCTTAGCCACATCAGATTTGAAAACCTTATTTAAAGACTTATTTTTCCCCATTTTAAATAAAAGAACTAACTTAACACACGGAAAAAGAGTAGTTTGTTAATGGGTTATATGCACGTGTTACAATTGTCTAACAAAGCCATACTCTCCAATGACTTGGTTAAAAACAGACGAAAAGTCGACAAGACAATATACAGACACACTGAACACACAGCCTCTGCTTTGAGCCAAGATGAACATCTCCCTTTGAGGATGAAGATGATGATGATGATGATGACATAGATGATGAAGCCCATGTGCATCGAACTCGGCGAGTACTATGCACATACCTGGACGGTCACCAAGACACTTGCTCTCCGGAAACACATCAGCCCTCTCCTGTCAATCTTCGCAATTAATTATTACTTCTGATTGAACCAAATTATTCCAATTAAGCTACTTCGACTATTTTTCTTAACATTAATCATTCATAAAAAAAAATTTAAAGCATTAATTAATGCAGCCTTCAAATGGACTTTCATGCATTCTATTGCCTTATGTGCCTGTTGGATAATTAATTTCTTATGTCTATCTTTAATTATCATAATTAATTACACTACCTGCAGTACAACTGGGTCCATACTGCATGCATAACTAGTTGACATGTGCAACACAGAGACCAAAAGTTTTTACACTGCTTTATAATTTGCTTGATAATTTCTCTTGGAGACATTCTGCAGAATGGGACACTGCTATGTTCCCTTAATTTATAATTTGTGTTTCTCTTGGACACATATTGCTGAATGGGACACGGACGTGTCCCCACACGTGGAGAGACTGATCGAGTGACCGTCCACTCACACAGCACATGATCCTGTGTGGGTCCCTGTACACTGGGCCCTCACCAGAGGAGGGCGACAGTGAGGCAAAGCAGCAGTGCATGCCAACAAGCTGGGGGGGGGGTCAGCACCGGGGCCACAGGCATGGCTGGCGTCAAGGTGCAAGGGCAGGGGGCGGAGGGGTTCGGGGCAAGCACAAGCCGCATTCCCAGCGGCCTGTACTAACTTGGTCGCCTGGGTTTGGGCGGTGTTGGGGGAGGCATTTTCTTGGCCTTGTCTGTGGGCGGTGTGCGAATTGACTGGGGGACTATCTGAACCGGGGAGCCGGAGGGCAGGGCGCTGTATGGAGCTAGAATGACAGACAAGGCGAGAAGAGCATTCAGAGCTTCACACAGGCGTTGGCCAACAGGGGGTGCCGTGCTCAGCCAGCCCCAACCAGACCAAACCTGGACCACAGCGGAAACCCAGGCCCTGCCAAAGATGGACGACCAGCATCCACAAGAAGCCTACACTCTTACATGTGCACAAACTTAATGCCGTCCTCTGTTTCAGCGTTACTTTACTAACATATACCCCTAAAAAACAGATTCAAGTTATACCAAAGCCATTCCATGACATCCTATTAAATGTCTTTCGGCATGGCTATAATTAAATTATATTTCTCGTACTACTGCTTGAGTACCTCCTGTAAATTTAAGTCAGCCAGGCTTAGGAGGAACACGGCTCCTTGATTTCAAATCATGGAACGAATCACCTCTAACATCAGTTCTTCCAATCGGTACATTAATCAAAGTGATGCACCGTCTAATCAAAAAAAGAAAAGGGGGCTAGGGGGCTACTTTCCATTTCCAAGGCCTAATTATCTTCACACGAGACTAAACCAGAAAAATCTTCTCAGTTAGCAGACCCCCTGTGACACCCATTCGTTAGATTAGGGAAGGGGGAAGTAGCTAATGTATGTGTCGGAAACGCTGATTATTTAATTAATCAATCGGTACCCACAGCACCGCTTCAGCCGTGATCAGTAGGCGGCAGACATGGTGACTCACCTTCTGAGATGTGGACAGTAAAGGGGCTTTTGGGAATCTGCTGGCCTGCGAATGTGACGTAGATGGTATGTGGACCTTCCAGCATGGGCCGGTAGGTGCAGCGGAAGATGCTGTCGCCTTTGTTTTCCAGGACGATCTCTACTGTGTCCCTCCGGCCCTGCGAGTCCACGATGACCACGCCGACATCTCCGGCCCCAGCCCCTGGAGTTCACGCCACAAGTTGGTCTCCTGCTGTCTCAGTCTCCAGCGCGAAAAGCAATCAGCTTGGGTCATAATCGCACCAGTTGGGACGTTTCCCCAGGGACCTACCTGCGGTATAGATGTCGAAGTAGGTCGGCTTGTTGGCGACGTTCCCTACAGGGTCGAGGCCCGACCCGCGAACCGACACCTTGTTGGAGTCGCCCAAAGCTTTGGACACGTGAACCATAAAGGGGCTTCTGTCAATGTCTTGCCCTGCAAAGAGCACCTTCACCTGGAGAAAAGCCCAGAAACATATTATAGATCGGCGCCATGTCTCAGCCCAAGGGTAGTACATGTAGGAAACTATTCTGAGGAGTTTAATCTTGTACCTTGTGAAGACCCTCCACTTTGGGAACATAGGCGACAGAGTAGGTCCTCTTCTTGTCATTGTTAGGGATAACTCTGGCCTGGAAATATATAAACAAAAGATTATACACAAGGTTATACTACAGTATTATGTCTGCCCTTCAGCCTAAGGTTCTACCGCCCACCTCTTCCGTGTGTCCTTCAGGGTCCTCCACGTACACAATGACCTCTCCCAGCCCAGCCTCAACAGTCTCCACGATAAATTCAGCTGGCTTCATCACCACATTGCCACGTGGCTCGATACCTGTGAACAAAGGGGCGCGAGCCATGACTCAGCAATAAGTCCAACATCTTCCCTGATTGACAGGATGTTTGCTGGAACCATCTGCTCACCTGGTCCATAGGCCTTGGCCTGCTTGGGATACAGTTGCTTGGCACGCAAAGGGGCCCCGGGTTTAAGCTTGGCTTTGGGGAACTGGGACAGATAGGTCATGACCGAATGCTCGTCCACATTTGGATCCACTATCTCTTCTGGTGCGATGACCTACAGAAGGGAGAGGAAAGGACACGAGACCCCACATCAACCACCACAGGAAGACAGAGGCAAAAGAGAACTTCAGCAAGCTGACAAATGCCTTTTCTACCAAGTATAAATGGCTGTAGGAGCAGAAATACCATATGGTAGAACGTTAAAAGAAAATGCTTCACATTAGCAGGATCTGAGTCCCATTAAAGCTGGTCAGAATGAAAATATGGGAGAATTCCCCACAAATCCACAAAGGTCAAAGGAAATTAAATAAACACAAATCCATTGTGATGAATTTATATAACATGCTGTCCGTCACTGACAGGGAAATGAGGAACGGAAAAAGAGGAGGCTCCACGAGGGACTGATTTTTTGGTGGCACAGTCTAGAAGGGAAAAACCAGCCCTGAGAAATACTCCCTGTGCGTAATGGATGTCAGGTTGGGTTCACCCATGCCAGTGAAGAAGACAGGCTGGAAACAGGAAGGAGAGCAGAGAGCAGGGCTCTTCCTGCAGCTTTCACCCACCTGGATGACCCTTAGAAGCCTCAGAATATCGAGGGAATGATGCAGATCCTGCCTGAACCACGCCCACTAAGTTAAAGGTTTGAACTAATCCCAAGAAGCATATGAGCTTGTAGTCCTACACATCGCCCAAGATCAGCCTACAATACGACGTCCAATAACAACATGGCAAGAACACGGTAGAATGACTCATTGCGTGGTATGGAAGGGAATGCTATGAGGCGTGTCCCACACGATCATCATGGTTAAACAATATACCACAAGTATTACCATATTACCACGCTGTGTCCCCAGCCAAACTGAGTCCACATGGAACCACTGTCCACACACCTCTCTAGTTATATTTAACTGCCTAAGAGTAAGGATAACAGGCCAGGACCGAAATAGGCCAGACCTGCCATTCTCCACACCCCCTTCGCAGTGACTGGGGGGGTAAAACTCAATCAGGAGGGACACTTCTAATAAGGCCTTCAGTCAGGGGCCTGAAAGGAAAGGGGCCGCACACCCCCTCAACATTTCACGACCTCCCACTTGCCTTTCCAATGTCTTGTCAACAGACACCAACCCTGAGGGAAATTCATCCAGAAATACCTCCGTCTATCTGAATCTGAATCACTCTCAGGGCTGCCTAAGGCTGCTGTTGACTTGACAGATTGTGGAAGAGAAATTTTTGAGTTTTGCCTGTGTTTGACTTGGAACATGCCCAGTTAATCAATTATTTATCCAGTTAACAATTAAGTCACTCTAAGTCGCAAACCCCTAAAGAATGCATTTAGCAACTGTGCTAGCATGCCAATACCCTCCACTAATACCCCAGCTCGAGTATAACTATAGGTGTAACACATGCTAATACCCCAGCTCGAGTATAACTACAGGTGTAATACATGCTAATACTCCAGCATGAGTTTAAAGGTGTAGCAAATGCTAAGATGATTCCAGAGTTTTAGGCACCAGCCAGGTGTCTAATGGAAGGTGGCTACATTCGGATTAGCTTACCTGTGGCACCCCCAGCCAATCGTCAGCCTGCTGCATGGCCTCCCGGGCATTCTCCACAGGCTGGTTGGGGTCCCAAGTCTCCCAGTCTGGGCAGAGGCCTGGAGGACAAAGGGATGATGGCATGAGAGAACCTGACTAAAATCACATGACCACAACATCAACCAAAACCTCAACATGACTTTGACTAACAGGCTATTGGACAATGTCACATTACTCAGAAGGCTTTGCCCTTGCAATAAACATACAGGCCATTAAATGTCCTCAGTATCAGTGCTTTTCTGTACCCCAAATCCTTCCTTCAGCCTCCGAGAAGATCACAGAATGCCGCTTTATTGGAATAGCACCGCATGATGTGTGGTAGATTGAGTTAGGGGATTTTACTGGATAAAACACAGGAATGTAGAAAAACCATTACTGGGAACTGATACAGTACCTTCAAGGAGAAGGTTTAAAACGAATCTGAACACAGGAAATTTCCCCCAGAGGAATCAATAAAGTCTTATCAATGAATCCTACACTGGCCCAAGACCTTAAATTGTACGAGTTTTGGTGGCACAGTACTCCTAAGACAGACGTCATCTAATTCATAAGCAGAGCTGCAGACTATCTGCACACGCGGGAACAGTCCGAGAAGATGACATGATACTCAATCTAAAAACTAATCGAAATGAAGAATGGCTGGAGGCCGTTTCATAACGTTTAGCGTTGGCACGCGCGCGGTCGGAGTCACCAACTTCGCTCCTCACTCATGGGGATTCCAGCGGGGGCCTGTCATTTCGGAGCCACATGCGTGATTTAGTGTCCCGGCAACACGGAGTGTCTGTGCAGAACATCAGTCAAAACCGTGGGGCGGTGAGTTTGAACATAGGAAGTCGTATTTCCCTCAGTGAGAAAAGCGCGACTGTGACCGGGGTTGGAGGGGGTTATGAGAGACCTACTGAAAACCATAGTGCTGATATGAAACGTGTATGCAGATGTGCAGGACCTCTTCTGTTGCTGAGCACCTTCATAGGACCGTGCATAGACTTTCCAAGAGGCGGGTCCCCAAAGCCTATCACATATATGCTAATGGGGGACTCAGGAATGGTGCAGCATGGGAACTGCACAAATTCCAGTAAAGCAGGGCTGCCTTCTTTGCTTACTTGGCTGGCGTGAGATTTTCAGTCTGCACACTCGTTTACATGTATGCAACAGTCTAATTACCTTGTAAATAGTTTGTAGGATTCGAAAACTAGCCCGACACTTTTGATGTAGCTAATTTTAGGTTTATAAAGGAATAATATAGTTTTGCTGTAAGATTTCTTGCATGAGATTGAGAGCCAGAAAGCGTGAGTGTCACGCCAGATGCATGAGAGTCGGCGACCCTGGTTAACGTAAATGAAATCATACCTAACTGGTTTGGGTGGTGAGATTTGCGTTCCTCCTTACAAGCCACCAAAATGTGTCTGTTTTTGGAGCTGTTTAATGGCACCTGACCAGGATCTGATACTCGCACAGTGACACCCTAAAACTCCACTTTGTCTGAAAAACACTCTGTCAAGGGGCCGGAAAACAGCGGGTGCTTCTGTCCTGCAGACGTGGGCGACTTTCCGGGGGTTTCCTGTGAGTCCCTTTTCCTTTACGACACACAGAGCGGATGTCAGAGGTCCTTCGGCCTTCACCTGCACGTCAGGCGCTGCGTACGAGCTGCTGTTTGGCCCCTTCCAGCCATGCGGCCAACACACGCGCAATAACGTAGCTGGCGAGAGAAATGTTTTTACACTTTCCCAGTTTTATTCACTCCCCCCTATACTTTCCATTACACACTGCTAGAGAGCGAAAGCTTGTAAAGCGGACAGGGCTGCTCAACTCGGTCATGCTGCTCCCAACATCTGTGATGATGGCTTGCAGAAACGCTCAGCAGCTTTCCCAGAAGCCCAAGTCACAAAGCAGGAGACACCCCAGATAGGGCGCCAGTGCACTGCAGGGTATCTATTCAAACTCACAAATATGTAAATACGACCAGTAATGAAAGGAGAAAAATTCCCTGTTTGATACAGAAAACAGGGCTTTAAAATCTCTGTTCGGGGATGACCACACAGAGACTCCAGCTTAATCATTAGCCAATGATATGTTTTGAATCAATAAATGATAGGGGAGGGGGTTCTCTGTTGGCCAATAAGCTTTCAGCGAGGGCCAGAGGCCCTGTTGCTCCGCCCATGTATACATCCCTGTCTCCATTTGAAATGGAATCCATCTTAACCAGAATGGGGTGCTGTTAAAATTAAGGGCTTCTGCAGGCTGGCTCAGCCACAGCCCACAGTGTGTTTATCATCAGTATTATTATGAGTGCCATTAAATGTAAAAAACAGGAGTGAGACGCGGCCGTGTACGGTCATATCTCTGGCATGATATTCCGCGGCTGTTTAGCATCAGACCTTCTAGTCTTGTAAACAAAGCAAAGCCCCCCCCTGCTTCCCTGAACATTCCCATTGGTTCCAGTGTAGCCTTGCAGCCATGCCATAATGACCTTGGAGAGCGAGCTGGACGCCGGGCATGTGTTTGTTTACCCCAACACCTTCTGGCCTGACCAGCACACTGCGGGGCTTCCTGAGAGGGGACCTGCATTGCCCTCCGCACACACACACACACACACGCACACAGACACACACACACTGACACACAGACACACACACGCACACACACACACAGACACACACACAGACAGACACACACACACACACAGACAGACACACACACGCACAAAGACACACACACTGACACACAGACACGCACACAGACAGACAGACACACACACACTGACACACACACACACACAGACACACAGACACAGACACGCACACAGACAGACAGACACACACACACTGACACACACACACAGACAGACACACAGACACAGACACGCACACAGACAGACAGACACACACACACTGACACACACACACAGACACACACAGACACACACACACACACCGCAACACCTTTCGCTCCTCTGGGTTCCATTCAAACTTCATCTAGATACAAAAAATGTTTAGTGCACTGAAAAATTTTTTTACAAGCAATTCAGACCAGATTTGAATTTAATGTTCGAAACCTGTGAATGTTGTTTACGAAGCTGCACGGCACCCAAGACACGATACTCCCTTCTGACTCCAATAAACACCTCTCTCTGAAAGCCCCCCACACCCCCTTCAATGTTCCCCTCCCAATCACATGGAATCCTGTCCTAATTTGGAGTGCTATGGGAAGAGGCTAAAAAAGAATAAACCTGGGACTGGAGTTATGACTCGGGCCCAAGAGGGCTTTACTTGATCCAGGCCAGCTGTCTGGGATGTCCCCAGGCCTGGCCCCAGCTACCCCTGAGGCCTTCTGAATGAACCCACCGCCATCCCTTCGTGGATCCCTGCATTTATACATTAGGCCTGCTTGTCCCATCTGATGGCGCTGTAATAAGCAGGAGTATGTCTTACATTAAGGGAGGGACAAAGGAGTCACAAGTCACGTGACCTTGGCCGGAACCATTTACGGTCCTTACATAGGGGGATATTGAATTAATATAACGAGGGCTTAGCTTTGCTGATGGGCATCTGATGGTGCCACGCCTGTATGCCGGAGGGTCCCTTTAACTGGGTAAAAGCTGCTCTTAGTCAGCAGCATGGTGGTTCACTGGGTAGTACTGTTGCCTCACACTTCCAGGGCAGGGTACTGGCATTCCACCCCACGCTGTGCTTGTGTTTGTCTGGGGGGAGTGTTTGCACACTCTGCCTATGTTATGTGGCTTTCCTCTGGGTTCTCTGGTTTCCTCCCACAGGCCACAGACATGCAGTACTTAGGTTAAATGGCCCATAGTGTGTGTGTGTGTGTGTGTGTGGTCTATGTATACCTTACCTTGTGGGGACCAAATGTCCCCACAGCGTGATGAATACGTGTTTTTTTATCTTATGGGGAAATTCTATTTTATAAAAATCAGTGACTGCTATGAAAAACTCTTGTATTTTGTTTGGTTACTTATGGTTAGGGCTGGGTAGCGGTTAAGGTTGTCATAGTTAGCATTTGCATTTTTCCCATTGAAATAAATGAGCGGTCCCCATAAGGATATGTTTACCTTACACGTGTGTGTGTGTGTGTGTGTGTGTGTGTGTGTGCCCTGTCATTATGCCCTGTGCTTCCTGGGAGAGCCTCCAGGACCCCCCTGTATCCCTCTCCAAAAGAAGTGGCTAGAAAATAGATGGATGAATGCATCTAAGAACCTGCTGAGAGATGTTCAGCTTTAGGAAGAGCCAGCTGTAACGGGCCTGAGCTGTTCGCTCACCAGGGGCGCAGTTGTCCACCAGAGCACCCAGAGCTTTGCCGTCCCGCCAGTCCCGGTGGAAGTTATTGATGGGGAGCTGAGGGACCTTGTTCTGGATCCAGCCCAGAAGACGCTGCTTGGGAGTGAGTTTCCTGGCGTCCTCGTCGTCCTCGTCCTCCCACATGGGCATGGAGATGGAGTAGTGTAGGATCAGCGTCCATATCAGCCCCAGGATCAGCTTCAGGTTCCCGTCCACGATGGCCTTACTGTCTGCAAGCGAGAACCGGGAAAAATCGCAGCAATGAGCTCACCTCGCATCAAGGCCACTATCTTTTTATCACTGATAATGTTTGATGTTCCAGCCCAAGTCCTGTTTCATCTAAGTAAACGACTCTGAGGTCCACGGATCTGATTTATGCGGCCAAAAGTTTGATGACAGTATTCCTGATTCCTTTACAAGCCTTCAAGCCAACCTGGACCGAGAGGGACTGAAAAACAATCCGTTTTCATGTACCAACAAACAATGAAATAAAATCTCACAATAGCCGCATCCCTGGCTTCATTCCACTAAGCAGCTGGAACATCTATGTTCACGTGGGGATCACTGCAAACATCTCTCACCAGGAGGGGATTCGGTGAAGCCAGCTGGCAGAGGACGATCCCAGCTGAGGTTCAGCACCCACGCTGGTAGCAGGAACACTAATCCGGGGTTATGAAGTGGACGTGTTTGTCTGAGCGGCACCTGGGGTTTGTTTAGTGAGAGTATGGAGGTTGGGCGGATTTTCCGGAGGTGAAACTCACCTCAGCGTCCCACCTTGCTGCCAAGACCTTGGCCACAGGCTTCCTCGCACACCTGCCGCGCTCGTTCGCGATCAAAATCCCATTTATCGGGAACGGAGCCGGGCTTTAATACGTTACCGCCAGTCCCAGCGGATCAATCTACGGTTAAATACTTCAGCACTTTTCTTACATGACACCATACAGCTGCCTCACATTCAGCTGCTTCCTGCGTCAATTTGGGTCACATCTGATAGAAGATAAATGTAGAATTTGACTTTAAACTCAGAACGTTCCACTTTTATTTGAAAAGTATCAACTTTTAGGTGAAAGTTTATTATGACTTTAATCTCAAAACTTCTTAAAATTAGTATTTCTTTGTAAGTGGCCCTTGTGCTGGTTCAGCACCCTGCGACTGACATGCTTGATCTACATCCGGGACGGGAGAAGCCCTTAAACTCACAGGCTTTGTTTATTAAACAACCTGGGGTCTAAATGTAGAACTCTATTGCACAAGGTTCGAGCTAAACCACATGTGCCCCCATGGGGGGGTGGGGGGAGGGGGGAGCTGCTCGTCTTCAGATATAAGCATTGAGCAGGGTTCAGCGGGTTCTGAGTAACACCGAGATTTAAAGGAACTTTTGATAATGGGGTTGTTCCTTATGCAGATTCCAGGGTGGAAAGAAAAATCCCATTACTGCGCGGGGGGGGGGAGACTGCAAAGACATCCCAGCTCAGACCCCCGCCAGAGCCGCACAGCGGACACGAGCGGCACAGATATCCCACTGCGTCACATGACGCCCGGTGTCAGACCCGTCAGCCGGCACACAGACGGCGCACAGCTGGGGGTGTCCACCATGTCTCCCCAGGGGCTATTTTTCAGGGATCACATGGCCCAATACGGAGGGACATTGTGGACCCGTGGAATGTTACCCCTGAACCTGAACTTCTATCCCAGCAGGAACTCATTCAAGCCGCTGCTTTGCTTATTTCCCTCCCATGGATTTATTCACCTTCTCTATGTGAGACTCATAACCACTACCCCCCCCCCCCCCCCCCCC